AAAAAAAAAAAAAATGGGAAAACTTTATGGTATGTAAATTGTACCTCAATAAAGCTATTTTTTAAAGTTTAAAATGCACATTGTTTGAGACAGTAATTCTATGTCTACGAATGTATATACATAAAATGTTTTTTTAATCTGAAAAAGGGAAGTTGCAGGATTAGAGTCCAATAATTATCTCTGTTAACCATACTGTTTAAATACTAGAAGAACAGATACACAATTTTTACTCTTGAAAATATAAATCACTACAAACATTAGGACAAAAGAACCTGCACAGTCAGGGGAGCAGGACTTCAAATTCTACTCTACGTTCACTCTACCGGTCATATTAGAGAGACTAGATTAATAGAAGAAAAGCAAAACTGAAAGCCCACTAGGATAAGAGACTGTCTCCAAACTCATGCTAATCTTACTTTAGTTGCTTTCAATCCATGAGATGTTTTATCTTCTTTCACAACTGCAGTAACTTTTTGTCCACCCTTCAGAGGCACGTTGGCACCCACAACATCAGAACTGAAGTAGATCAACTCATTAATCAAGCCATAATTTTTCAGTTTGGTGTCACCCATGGGATTGGTAAACAACAGATTACATTATTTAACCTTAAAAGCAAACACCCACTAAAAATAAGTCCTGCCAGAGGAAGATATGATAGATAATCAGCTACTTCTAGGAATAGAATAGCCTGGATTTGAGACATAGATGACAGCAGAGCATAATGATTACCTATGCGGGCGGGATTCTGGAGGCAGAGTACCCAGGTTCACATCCTGGCTCCATTATTTCTCTCAATGTCACGGTGACCTAACTTAACAGGCTGTGGGGGGCCATAGTTAAGAGTACCGAGTCCAGAGCCAGACTGCCTGGGTTTCAATCACAGCTCCTACACTTACCATCTGTGTAACCCTGGACATATTTCTTAACCTCTCTGACCCTATCTTCCTCTGTTAAACAAGGACGATAACAATTTCTGCATGATTTCTGTAATGAGCACAAACTGACTCATAAGTGTCAAATGCTTAGAACTGTGAATGCCTTGCACAGGTCAGAATGTAAAAGTTGTTATCATCATATCTGCATATGGAGAGTCTTTAAATGACCACTATGATTATATAACTTCATCATTTTCATCAACATAATGAGCAGCAGCATCTGGAGATTCTTAAACATCTCACCAGACAGAGCACTAAGAAATATTGAGGACTTAAGTCTAGCCTAAAAATGCATCCATGTCACCAAAGAGTTTGTTTTTTCTGAACAAGCATAGCTGGTAAGTGATATTAATATTTTGGGATCTGACCCCAGGCAGTCTGTCTGTAGAATCTGAGCTCTGAACCATAATGCCACAGCCGCCTACCCAACAACTTGAGTGATTTTACAGAAGAGCTGGGAAAATTCTTGATTGCTAGATTATGAAAGCAGAAACCAAGAAAATCGGACAAATTTTTAAAACAGGTCAAATTTGTTAGTTACATCATATCACAGAAGAAGAAGAAGAGCAATGCAGCCACCTGTCACTCAGTCATGCAAAAACTTATCAGAGACTCTTCCATGTGTCCCTACTGGCACAAGCAGAGCTAATACTGGACACTGCAGTGAGAGATTTCAGCTAAAAGCTAAGAAACAGGCTTCTCTGGCAAACTTTGCTAAGACCCAACCACCTCTGCAAGGGTTCAAGATCTACTAACAGAGAAGCTACAGGGAGATTCTGGGACCAGGAAGGCAAGGTTCCTGCTGAGGCAATACTGCTGACCAAAGAGGAGCCTCTTCCACACCACCCTCCCGACTACACTGTGAATTCACTCTTGTGGCAGGAAGTGCCTTTAGAGGCTGGGAGCACATCAGGTAAGAAATGGCTGCTTGATCTGAGTGCCCAGGTGTGAATGTGAATTCTGGTGGGCCACAAACCAGCTGAGTGCCCCTCTCTTTCCCACGTTTAATTTAATTTATTATTTTTTTAGGGACAAGGTCTCGCTATCACCCAGACCAGAGTGCAGTGGCACAATCACAGCTCACAGCAGCCTCAAACTCCTGAGCTCAAGGATCTCCTGCCTCAGCCTCCTGAGTATCTGGCACTACAGGAACTTGCCACCACGTCCGGATAATTTTGTTTTATTTTTTGAAGAGAAGGGGTCTCCCTATGCTGCCGTGACTGGTCTCAAACTCCTAGCCTCAAGCAATCCTCCCACCTTGGCCTCCCAAAGTGCTAGGATTACAGGTATGAGCCACCACACCCGATCTCCCACTCCCCCTACTCAGCTGTAAAATGGACACACCACTAGGACTTTTCTCATTGTATTTTTTGTGAGAATTAAATGAAATGAATTCCCGTAAGGGCCTTAGCTCAGGGATTGGCACATACAAGCATTCAACATCAAGTAGAATCAGTATAATTCACAGCAGGGATGCCATCCACTCCAGGAACCTTCTCACGTTCTATGAACTCCCACCTACCAAACGCAAACACTTTCACATGTCTCCCCTGAGCATCCACTCAGTGCCAGGATTTTAAGAAACAAAGGAGAGCAAGATAAACACAGCTCCTGCTCTCCTACGGGACCAGACACATGACTCTCCCCTTGCCTTCAAATACATGCCCATTTGGGACACAAGACCAAATTCTCCCTCAAATTTGGGAGTTTCACGCCTACTGGAAATATATATAAGCAGGCAGGTGCTGCACAACCTTGGGGAACGCAGAGTCAGTACATCCCCCAGGGCCTTCTCTGTCAACATCTCCCTGCTCTGGACCGACTTGAGAGTTTGGGGCTCGGGTCCATGCAGGCCTAGCTCTCAGGGACTCGAGGACTCGGGATGCTCCCCCATGCACACACGCAAGATGGAGCCACCCCCACATTCAGTGCTTGCCTGAGTCCCCACAGCCTCAGGTGGGGGGTGAGGAGAGCCCCTGTGGTGAGGCACCTTGCTTGGGGGACAGGGGAGAATGCCGAGGGTACCTTGTGGGAGCCCCAGCTGCTGCACCCACTGTTCCTTGGTGGGATACGTCTTCCTCTGGAAGAAGGCCAAAACCAGGCTCAAAAGCCCACGCATGGTCTGGTTATCACCGGTCTGGGCACCTCGTGTGTCAGATGAAGCACGAGGCCTCCTCTGTCGGGGAGCCCTAAGGTCACAGTGGCCTCTCAGGAACCCG